ACTGGATGGTTTTTAAGGTCCCTCCAAACCCCAACCAGTCTGGGATTCCATGAAATCCCATTTACCAGCAGCCTTAGGTGGCATAATACCTGAGTCTGGATCAGTGTGCCTGTGAGGCAGTGGGGTGTTGGATTGGGGGTATTGGATTTGGGGGTGATGGATTTGGGGGTGATGGATTTGCAGGTGTTGGACTGGGGGTGATGGATTTGGGGGTGTTGGATTGGGGGTGATGGATTTGGGGGTGACAGATTGAGGGGTGATGCAGGGGGGTGCTGGATTTGGAGCCTCTGTGTGTCCTGCCTTTCTGGCAGTGACCCAACTGCTCTGATCAATAATGTGATGCTTATTTAACATGGTATTTATTCACTGCACAGCAGTGATTTCACCCCTCCAAGCCTCTGTTTCTCCTGCCTCCCCTGCCTGGAGCAGCACTGAGGCTGTGTGACCTCCCCTGCCCTGCTTCCAAGAACATCCCCTTTCCCAAACTCCTCCAGCTTCCTGGTAAAGGAATTCCAAGGAAATACTTTTAGATTGATTTTTTTTTTTTTTTAGCTTATTAGACTTTATTTCAAATCCAAAGGAGATTATGCCAACATGGAAGTACCATCAGGACATGAGAGCCCAGAATAAAATCAGCTTTCTCTGTATTAAGGGGGAGCTGTAAAGCACATCCTCAGCTCCCTCTCCTCTGTGGGAGGGAAGCCTGATTCCCTTAGTGAGTACATTAAAATGGTTCCACAGCTGTACTAAAATATTAAAAGAAAACCACAGGTGCTGAGCTGCACAAAGACCTGGATTGTTTTCCCATGTTCACAGTCACTGGGTGTCCGTCAGTGCCACTCCAGGGGGAAACACTGCTCCAAGAATAAAGGCACTCCAGAATTCCCGAGGAATGTCTCACAAGCCAAGGACAAGTTTTGTGTCAGGTCTTTCTGCTCATTTTAAAAACCCAGAAACCTGACTGTTCTGGTGCTGGACAAATCTCTGAGGGGAATTCCTGGGCTTTCACGTGGGAATGCTGAGGGAAAATGGGCAGCAGACACTGAATCCCATTGGCATCTGACTGACAGCAGGTTCAGTGCTTGGAATTCCAGGATATATCAAAGAACTGGGCCAGACAAGATCTACCACCATCAAACCAGAAACTAGATGGTAAAAAATCCAACAGCTGGTGTTTGGGGAGGCTGTTTTCTCTTGGTTTGCCCGAGGTTTTTATGAGTGAAAGTTTCTGCCTTTCTCTTCCATTGTCCTTTTCCCCCAGCCACTTCCCAGCAGAGCCCAGGAGCAGCCCTGTCCCAGCCTGTGGCTCTGCTGGAGCAGCTCTGCTGTCCCCACTCAGTCCCAGAGGTGCTCAGCCCCCTCTGGAACCACCGGGGGGGGGTTTGCTTTGTTAGGAAAGCGACGGACACCCAAAACGTTGGCAAGGAAGTGATTAAAATTAGGAAGCACCAGAGCCATTGCTGCACCTCCTGGGAACAGCCTCAACATTCCCGTTTGTGGCTTTATCTGGATTTTATTTGAATCTTTACCCCTGTGAGGCCATGAGGGGAGTGAAGGGAACGCTGTCTGTGCTGTGGGTCAGCCAGGGCCCCCCAGCTGTCCCCTCCAAGGACATCCATGGACGTGCTGCTGCTCCTACTTCCAGCAGATCTTCCCAGCCTCCCCCACGCTCACAGCACCGCTGGCCACGAGCTGCAGGGCAGCAGGGAAGGCCCTGTGCTCTGCCTCCTTCA